ATTTTTCACTGAAATTCTCGGTCCACTTCTTGGAAAATTTATTGCATTTTAGTTGCACTGAAATTTCACAGAATTTTGTAACTGCAAATTGAAAGTTTTATCGAAAAATCTGCTGCAAGAATTAATAATGCAACCAGTAATTCATGAGTTGAATTATTCCATGAAATTATAAATATTGTTAATATATTCTTGCATTTTTGATTAATTGAAAATTCAGTGTAGTTTGATACTAAATATTCCGTTGTGATTAAAAATTCAAATAAGTTTGGGAATTCTCGTTTCTCTGCTTATAAAAAGTGTGAAATTTCATTGAACTGTCAGTGAAAGCTAAAATTTCATGATTTTTGTCTTAAACTGAACACAATCTCTCTCTTCTATTACTCATCAAATTTCCATGAAATTTTTTCCTAACATTGTAGCATGAGGTTGTGTGAAGTTTAAAGTTTTAAACAATTCCGGTATTTGCCTGATTACCCCAGATTTTTCCTTGGCTATTGGATTTCGTATTTTGTCTTCACATTGCCCCTGGAGTCTTCCAGTATGTGAATTCTTAATTAAAAAAAAAATTCTTCATTTTATCGCATCAAAGCCACTTCAACAAATTTTTCTTGATTATCAGAAATGTTGGTTTCATACGTTTCCTCATCAGTCTAAAAAATTCTTTCGACCTGAAAAACCTCAATTTGTGGAAATGGGTGAACATTCTTAATGGGGAAATTTCCCGAATGCCCACGCCAAATGCTTCATCTTCCCTTCATTTTTTTTCGTTCATTTAGACTAACAACCGGGGATTACCGTTGCAGCAAGTGGCAACGCCGACGGTGGTGAAGAAGATCCTGAGGATGAAGCAGGAGCAGCCGACGATGTTCGCTTGGGAAATCAGGGAACAATTGGCTAGGCAAGGTGCATGTGATCCACAGAGTTTACCGTCTGTATCGTCGGTCAATAGAATACTCAGGGGCGGTGGACTACATACGGATCATCCGGGGATTGATGCTGGTTCATCTAGCGGGTATCAAACCCACGTGCCGTCGAGTCCGGAGGCTAGAGGTAATTTGGTGATGTCTAATTCTTGAATAAAATTTATTTTCATTACACGTTATCTGAAAATTCATACTGTTCATATTGTCATGTTTTAAAATTCACAACAACAGACCGTAATTTTCATTGAACTTCCATTCTACCGCACGGAAAATTTTTATAATGCTTTTTTCTCCACTGTTAAACATCCTCGGTAGAAATTTCCGATTCACTTCTCGGAAATATTCGCCAAAATGAAGAATTTGGTACTGCATATCTATGTTTCGATCGGGAAGTCAAGTATTTTGCTCTATTCACTATTAGAAATCCTTTGGAATTAAAGTGATAGCTGGGTGTGATTGTTGTTAATTTAATGTCAATGTAGAATCAAATTTTTCAGGGAATTTCAACAACAACTTGAATTTTCAAACTCATTATAAAAATTAAATGTTTCATCGTATTGTATCTATCGATTGAGAATTCAGAGAAATAATTGCATTGCAATTCCATTAAGTTATATGCCAATAACGTATGAAATTCCATGTAAATTAGTAAGTGTTGAAAATTGCACAACCTTTTACCTGAATTTTCAAAAGGAATTTTCTAACAAACTCGATAATTAAAAACTTAATTGATAATAATAGAGTGAAAACATTATTGTACGTGTGATAACTTTGTTTATAAACCTTGAAAATCATATATGGAACACTCACATAATTATTAACACGAATGTATTATTTACCATGTGCACCGATACACCGCACATTCGCAGAATTACCAGATATCGCGTGATGTCCGAAAAAAATCATGTTTCCCTTTTTCGGGGTTAAAATTGGTTGAGATACAACCGCACGCATATAAACACATCTGAATAACATGTGGCTGGAGTAATGTTCATTAGTCTCCGCGAAGAGAGAAGATTTTTCGACCGCAAGATAATTCTCAACACGAAAGCCACTCATAATTTTTGTTTACAATCGAGAGGCGAATTTAACGGTGCCCTTCATTCATTTTTATCACACGTATTTGTAACACTCTTGTATAGGCCTTCTCCGAAGTTTTTTTTATTGCATCAAGGGTGAATTGTTGGGAGAGATTGAGAGTCCTGGAGAATTGAGATACTCACGAAAACCGTGATTGATATCCTTGAAGAATACGTTCTCCTTTCCCTTATCGACCTTTCTGCGGTAGTTCTCAGATTTCTGCCCTCAAAAGAGAATTTTCGGAAATTTATTTAATGATTCTTCAAGGGTATTCTGCGGATTAAACATTCAAGCTATCAATTCTCGCGTTTTTTGGGGGAAAAAACTGTAAAATTGTAAAAAAAGGTTTTTACATAATCAGAAATCACGTATGAAAAAGGTCTATACGCGGAAAACACATGTGTTTTGTTGAATCAAGAATTAAATTTTTCTTCGAATTGAATTTTTTATATTCTGGAATAAAATCTTCCGCAAGTGAGAATTTCCCTATTCTCCATTTAAAAAATAGCCTATTTTTAATTTCAAAAAAATTTTCCTCCGGGTGTTTTATATGAATTGAGAGATTTATATGAATTTAGACTTCACAGAGGAAAAGATCTACATGGGAAAAACCCACAAGTTCTTCTCAATAATTTAATACGGACAATTCTCGCAAGAAATTGTCCTATAGAATTCAGATCTCTATAAACCTCTCGACAAAGTTTGAATGCTCTAGAAATTTCCAGAGGAAAATGGAATTTGAATTCCTAACGATGAAAAATTATCACTAGACATAAATAACAGCGCCAAATTAACGAGAGGAATTAACTCCCTCACTGACAATGTGTCATTTTTAGAAGCCCTGATGAGAACGGATTATCAATTATTTTACCCCGGCTCCCTGGGTCCCCTTCACATATCAACGAGTGGATCAACTGGAAATCCGAATGCACCAACGTGGAATCCTGGATTTTACTCGTCCCTCTATCAAGCAACCACACTGCATCTGCATCACGGAATGCAGGCATTCACGTGAGTATCCTAATAAACGTCCGCTTTATACCCGCATTATCCCCTTAATACGTGCCTCCACCATTTTAATTGGTTCATTCATTATCCAAAAACATTGCATTTATTCTTCAGTACACTGGAGCAAGAGCGAATGGCCGAACAACAGAGTGGACAGAGCCAAGTTGAACTGAAATCCAGTTCAAGCTCAATGGCAGGAAGTGACGATTCCCTAGACAAAAGTGATTTAGACGATAATGTTGAGTCGCAGGACAATTACAAGTCCTTCCAAAGTTCCCCGATAATTCTAGAGCTGGGTCAGAAGATCGGCAGCGATCGGAGTGCATTCGTGCGCCACGGGACGCCCAATTCGTCGAATAACTTTGAAATCTCACGGACAAGTCCCGCGTCAGCGATTGGTGACGACATAACACCGCAGACGTCACGAAGTGGTAACGAAAATTCGAGTGATATCAGTACTGAGGGAGTGTCGTCCGGCAATAGACCCCAACAGCCCCAGAAAAAACGAAATCCCTACTCCATAGAAGAACTACTCAAAAAAGATGAACGCGGCGTTAGTAATAAACGACCGAGAGTGATTGCAACTGGCATTGTCCAGCCGTGTGGGATAATAGTCGGTAAAGATGGGTAGAATATGTCATGTCCCAATGTAAATTAAAAAGTAGCTTAATTCTTTAATTAATGGAGATGAAATTTAACGATTAATTCAACAGTCGGACTTGACGTGGGGATATCCAAGTACTTTGGCTATTTTTTTTCCAGTGAAATGCACGGAGAAAAATTTTCTAGAAAAATTCTAGCACTGTTAAGGTAAAATTTCTTGGTTTTTCTGGTAAAATTTCCGGGGTTTTACGTGAAATTTTCACAGAAATACCAGGAAAAATTCCCGTTTTCCCCAATAAAATTTTTAGTGCCGGCACTGGAATTTTTTCCCGGCCGTCATTTTGCGCCTTTTTCCCGTGCTAGCACTAGAATTTTTCTAAAAAATTTCTCTCCGTGTGCTTCTCTTCATTTAAGCCCCATTTGACCCTATGTCTCCGGACATTACAATGATTTTATTATATATACCTTGTAGGCCTGAATTTGAATCTCGAAATTGAAGAGTTAGAGAACATTTAAAAAATCTGCAAAGAAAATCCGAATGTTTACTTTCGAAGAAAGATTGATGAAATAATTAGAAAATTGCAATTTTTGAAACTTACGCGCATTTTCTATAAATCATTTATGAAGAATCAATTTTTCACCATAAAAATCATTTGTTTGGAATCGTAACAAATTTATTCATGTTCAGAATTAGTTGTCAAACCAAAAAATGTTTAAAAAAATGATAATTGTGTGCAAAATGTTAATTGATTGACGCAATTTAACTCGCAAATTTGATGATTGAAAATAGTTAAATCTATATTGTGTTCTATACCAAACTGTAAAAGGTACTTGAATATCCTTAATGGAACTTATGTACATATTACAATGTATAGTAGATGATTCTTCGATGGAGGAATCACCAAATTCTTTTATTTGAAGATGGTAATAAAGGGAGATGGTGTGACACAACTCGTGTTGAATTCATTTCGGGGTGGCTCAAATAAAAATTTCAACGCATAAAGAATATTTGGAACATGTTAAGGAATACCGTCGTTGTACGAAGGCTGTCATAAAGCCATAAAACTGAAGTCACCATACACTGTGCCTCGCGATTCCTCTGACACACGTGTGAATGAGTTAAACTGCAACAAGAGAGAGAATTCACCGATTTTCCTCTCCGGAAATAAAAATAACATTGAGGAAATAAAAGGGGGATGAGGGAATCTGGCTTTTACAGCGTTGTAAACATTTTTATCTCTCTCAGTGATCATCACCAACCAATTAATGCACCATAAAGTGTAAACACTTGTGGTTTAATATCGTGCGGCCATAATCCCACGTCAGACGCACATTTGTGCACTAAAGCTAACAATTTTCTGAAAAAAATAAGAGTAATTAAACTTTTAAATTGAAAAAAAAAAACAAAAACATTGAAATGAAGTTGAATTTAGATGGCAATTAAACACTATTTATTCTAGTAATGTAAAAATATTGTTAATTTAATTTGAATGATAATGATACTGGGCCTTTGATAGCCGTAACGTTATTCAATGAAAATAATGGTAGGATGAATTTTCACGGTGTCATAGAACTGTAGGCGATACTCGAGGGTATAATAACTTGGACAAGTTTTACGATGGTTTTTAGTATCATGGCCACAAGAATATCTCTCTCTCTCTCTCTCTCTCTCTCTCTCTCTCTCTCTCTCTCTCTCT